TGAGTCAGTTTAAAGGTGATAGAAAGCCACTGATAGAGATTTAAGGTTTTGTTTTGTTTGTGGTGCTGGGGATTGAACTCACCATTGTGCTACATCTCAGCCCTAGATTTATGTATGTATGTATGTATTGAGACAGGGTCTCGTTATGCAGCTCAGGCTGGCCTTGAGCTCACTCTGTAGCCCAGGCTGGTCTTGAACTTGCAATGATCTACCTGCCTCAGCCTCCCAAGTGCCAGGATTACAGTTGTGTACCACCATGCCCAGCTTCCAGTCCTAGATTTAGAATTTTAAAAGATCATACTGACTTCTGAGAATGTGAGGGGGGAAAAAAAAGAAAAAAAAAAAAAAAAAACTGAGATAAGTTAGGAGGCTGTTGCAGTTCAGGGGGAGAGATCGCTGTTGATTTGGAACAGATAGTGGCAGGGGAGCTAGAGAAGTGTGTGAGATCACTTGAGAGAAACCTGAGAGGGGACACTGGGAAGTGCTGGGAGGTGACCTCCAGCTTGGAGTGAGGGAAGACAAGAACATTTGCAATAAGCCAACTGTCCAGTCGTAGGGCAGAAACAAGAGGAAGTACGATGAAGAGGCCACTCATACTTCCTGCTTGGACTGGGAGCCTGGGTAACAGCACTCCCGGGCATTCATAGGGCTCTGTACCCGGCACTAAAAACAAACCTTTGTGATTCATGGCTCTGTGTGTGGAGAAAAGACAGGTTGGCAGAGCCACAAAGCAAGCCAAAAGCTTTGCCTTTCAAAACCTCACATCTCCCAGCATCCACAACCTGTAGACACAGGATGTGAAAACACACAGGTAGGAAAAGATTCAGTGTCCTGACAAGGTAGGAGGAACCGGAGATGGGGAGGTCTGTGAACTTTGATGGCGGCTGTGAGTTCCAGCTTCTCCTCCAAGAACCTGGGGACTAGAGGCACCAGAGCTGGAGTCAACAGGGCTCCACACCACTAGCCTGAGTCTCTCCAAACAGGAAAGTACATATGTGAAAGCACCTGCCCCCTACATGGATCAGAACTGGGGTCTCAGGTTTGTAGGCTTTTTGTTTTGGTACCAGAAACTAAACTCAGGACCTTGCGCTTGCCAGGCAGGTGCTGCACCGCTGAGCTACATACCTGGCCTTGTTTTATTTTTGAGACAGTGTCTTACTATGCAGTTCAGGCTGGCCTTGAGCTCAATATGTAGCCCAGCCTGGGAACTCATACTCACAGCGATCCTCCTGCCTCAGCTTCTTGAGTACTGGGATGACAGGTAGGTGCCACTACACCCAGCTCAGATTTATAAACTGCTAGAGCCAGACGGGATCTTTATCTGATTCAACTCTCAGACTGTGGTCAAGCAAGGTGAATGGACCTGATGTGGACAGGGGCTGTGAAGCAGCTGGCTCTTTTGACCTCAGGTTCTGTGCTACTCCCAGATCCTCCCCCTGGCCTTGGCTCACTCGCAGACCAAAAGTATGAATCATGGTCCTCACCAGTTTCTGTGACTAATGTAGTTTTTGTGTTCCCAAGACGTCCTCGAACTGCCTCCCCTTGTCAGACACTATTCCAGGACTTACATCAACCCAGTGCACATTCTTGGACTGTCACTTCAAAGGACACTTGTCCCCAACTGCATTCGCTCTCCAGCTACTCCTGGCCAAAACACTTCCACCCCTGGGGAGAGAGGCTCCCGAATTGCCCCTTAGCTCTGCTGCTGGGTCCCCACCCTACTGTCTCATCTGATTCTTATAAACTGTCTACAGACTGATGGTGTTTGATTTAGAATAATATCTGGTAGATAAACAAAGCTGATTTATGCTCACATTACCAAAACAAGGATACAAAACGACTCACAGGTGATAGGAATAGAGTTTTTGCTCTTGCTTCAAGCCAAAATATTTTGGGGGAGCATTAATTGGCAAGTTAGAGCTTCTCTCAAGTATTTACTGTGCTCTTCAGGGCTCTGATTTGTGCAAACCCAGACACACTAGGAGGGAATAAGAGCAACAGGGTACATTAAAAAAAGTTATGACATTTACAGATGTACACAAATTTCCTATAAAAAAACAGCATTTCCCAGCAGAAGGGGCTTAGAATCTGGGTCATAGAGGCTGACACTTGGACAGTAATATTAAAGGACCAGTTCTAGTTAAGCAGCCATGGTGTTATTTCTTACCCCAGGGAAACCAAATAGTAAATAAAAGGGAGTTCCCTTTACAGAAATATTATGACTAATAAATGAGGGAGGAATGATAGAAATAAAATATCACAGCTGCGTGGCACAAACTTGCGATAACAGCACTTGGGAGGCTGGGACAGGAGGATCACTGTGAGCTCAAGGCCGCCCAGGCTCCACAGTGAGTTCAAGTCCAGCCTGAACTACACAGCAACACCCTGTCTCAAAAAAACAAAACAAAAATAAAGAAATAACAAGGGCTGAGGACATAGCTCAGGGGCAGAGTCTGCCTGACAAGTGCAAGGTCCTGAGTTTGATTCCCAGTACCAAATAAATAAATTCAAAATATCACTATTCAGTAATTCCAAATGAAATAAAGGATTGCTAAAGGCTGCTAACACTAGAAGAAGAGAGACAAGATAATACTACATACCTTCTGGTAGACATCAAGTCATTGTGGAGTATTGTTATTGTTGTTGTTGTTGTTGTTATTATTATTATTGTTATAATATTTTGCAGTGCTAGGGATCTAAGCCAGGACCTTGCACAGGCTAGGCAAATGCTCCACCACTAGCTACACTCTCAGTCCTCTATGTAGTAATTTTGACACATTAATATCTGAATTTGAATAGGCATATAGAACCAACTACCAATATCAGGAAAGCAAGGGGGAGAGGTACATGTTGAAGAAACTCCTTAGTGTAGGATGAGCAAAATTCAGACCTGTGGGTTGCACTACAGTTCAACTGGATTTCCTCAACAAACCAGTGACAGAGAAAGGGGGAGGAAAAAGAGAGGCAGGCAGATAGGCAGGCAGGACTTGAGATTGAAAAATTGAGCAGTGTGCTAAAGCGGAGGCAACAAATTCAGCTTACAGGAAAACCCTTCCAGCCTGCCACTTTCCTTTTTAAACAGTCCTAGCCTCCCAAGTTCCCCCTTGGCCCTCACTCCCGCTCTCACCCCAGTACTCTCATCCCTTAAGATCCACTAGCCCAGCCCAGGCTCCTGAAGCTCTCTTGGACTCAGGCTAGATGAAGCCTCCCTCACTGCTAGGTGAAGTGTTTAGAGGAAGTGGGTCCTTTGGGCTGGTAGTATCTCAGACCCACGCTAGCAAATCCCAAGAGCTGCTCTGATCCATACTGTTGAAGACTTCAGGATAAAACTCTCATAGCCAGCAAGCAGACCTGGTTCTTCTCTAAACTATGTGACCCATACTGAGTCATGTCAGTTAGCAGTCTTTCTTTCTTTTTTCTTTTTTAAATTCAGGTTGGCCTTGAACCTAATGTGATCCTCTTGCCTCAGCCTCCTGAGTGCTAAGATTATAGGCAGGTGCCACTATACTCAGCTAGCATTTTCATATTAGTCTTTCAACAGGTTAGACAATAATTCCCCCATTATAGGAGCATATGGGACACCTGAAGGAAAAGCCATCCCTTGAGGACATAGATTCTATCAGTGATACTATAACATTAGAGACACTACATTTAAAATTTAACTACAGAGTGCATGTGTGTTTTAGATCCTCTCTACGACCCCGTGGAGTAGGTAAGGTAGTAGAGCTTGGGGCTGAGAGAAAGTGAGGGTCTGGCCAAATAAAGTGATAGGCCAGGACTTGAGCATGTTCCCTTCTCAAGGAAGCAGGTATCCTTTCCAACATACTATTCTGACTTCCTTTGATTTATTTCAATTAAATATAGAGAAGTACGAATGGCTCTAAAAGAACCAGAGCTGCTGTAACCTAAAACCAAAGGGGCATACTGACCCAGCGAATTAGCAAATGAGTTGCTTCCTCAAGTTAAATGGCAGGAAGCAGCCCTGTGATAACATCTGACATTCTCAGCAATGTTGCCTCCAAGATTTTATGCTCCTCCTCCACACTCCCCTGGCTGGTTCATCACAGGATTCTTTCTGTGCCTCCATGACAGCAGGCCCCCAGAACAATCCTTGCCTCCTATATACTGCTGTACACAGAGCTTCTGAGATTTTCCAGCCTTTAAGTCACAAAACCACATCCTTTAGCTAATGCTGCTTTGTCACGATGCTGAGACAACTGTGATGACATGAACGCCTGCACAGCAGTAGATGGGGAGAGACTTTCCATCTTACTGAATCTATGTGTTCAGACCCCAAACCTTCTGGTTCTAATAGATTTTCTTGCAAGTTCTGGACTTGGGTGGGTAAACTAATAAATTTCTTATTGAGTAAAAAGTTGATTAAGGGGGCTGGGGAGATGGCTCAGTAGAATAAGTGCTTGCCTAGCAAGCACAAGGGCCTGAGTTCAATCCCTGGTTCCACTAAATAAATAAATAAATAAATAAATAAATAAAGTTGATTAAAAACAACCAAGCTTGTATTGAGTATCTTTTTTAAGGGCTAGGCATTGCATTAAAGGCTTTGCATATGACCTCAGTGGGTTGTTTGTTTTTTTTTTTTTTTTTTTCAGTGCCAGGAATTAAACTCAGGACCTTGTGCATGCCAGTCAAGTGCTCTGTTACTGAGCTAGAGCTACAGGCCAAGCCTTCAAATATCAATCATCAATATCGAGCACCACCTGGATGATTTCCATGAGATCTACAGCCCACATTCTCTTCTCACTGCGTACCTGGGCAGCAGCTATTAAACTAGCTGTAGGGCTGGTGAGATGGCTCAGTGGTCTAAAGCACCTACTTAGAACAAGCTTAGCAAAGTACAAGGGACCGCGGTTCAATCCCCCAGCACCACATGCCAGCCAGCCCCGCCCCCTGGTGGGCTGAGCTGGCCACACACACAAATAAATAAATAAATAAATATTTAAAATAAAATAAAATAAATAAATAAATAAAATAAACTAGCTGTAGCAACTATTAAACTCAAATTTCCCCAAGAGCTGGTTAACACACGCTGAGCAAATGTCTTGTGCTCAGAACATTATCTGGACCCTGTGAGTACGTCCTGCTCATTGTAACACTGGAAAGACAAAACAGACTGGCTTCTGAATTGAGCCACCCATTTCCAGGTTTGCTCTGGGGGATCTGAAGACAATAGCACTGGAAATTTAGAAGGGAGCAAGGAACCTTTAAGGAACATTTCCTAAACCAAATGGGTATTTTGATGGCACAGAAGATGCGCTTTCTGCCAGAAGCGCTTGTCACATGCACTGAAGTGGAAAGGTTTTACTCCTGTATGTGTTCTCTGGTGTGTGAGGAAATGGGAACACTGGTTGAAAGTCTTGATGCACTCGGCGCACTGGTAGAATCTGTCTCCTAAGTGGATCCGCTGATGTGCTGTGAAATGAGAGCTCTGGTTGAAGTTTTTCCCGCACTCGCCACACCTGTAGGGTCTTTCGCCTGTGTGGATCCGTTGGTGCTTAATAAGGGCAGAGCTGTCAGTAAATCCTTTTCCACAGTCGATGCACTTAAAAGGTCTCTCACCTGTGTGCATCTGCTGGCGTGTGACCAAGTGTGAGCTCTGCCTGAAACTTCTGTGGCAGTTGGGACAACAGAAAGGCCTTTCTCCCAAGTGAGTACTCATGTGAGCTACAAAATGAGAACTGTCCCAGAAGCACTTCCTGCGCTCCAGGCATTGGGAAGACCATTCACCTGTGTGGATCCACTGGCACTTTATCAAGTCTGAGCTCTGGCTGAAACTGTTCCCATCATCATTGCACCTAGAAGGCTTCATGCCACTGTGGATCCTCTGGTGGGTGATGAAATTTGAGCTTTGACTAAAGCTCTTGTGACACTCGAGGAACCCATTGGGCTTTTCTCCCATGTGTGTCCTTCAGTGCATGATGAGGTGTGGCTTCCACTCAGAGCTCTTCCTGCTTTCTAGCCACTTGTCATGCTTCTCCCCTGCGTAGGTCCTCAGTTGTTTGGTGAGTGCTGAGCTGTCACGGAAGCTTTTCTCACACCCATGGCACTGGTAGGGCTTCGTACCCTTGTGTGTTCTGCAGTGAGTGACAAGGTCTGAGCTCTGCTTGAAGCCTTTCCCACACTTGGCGCACTTGTAAGGCCTCTCAGCAGTGCGAGTCCTTAGGTGTCTCATGAGATAGGAGCTCTGGTTAAGGCTTTTTCCACATTCTGTGCACACAGGCTTCTGCCGCACACACCCACCCAGGAGCCTGTTCAAATCCCTCTCCTCGGCAGAGGACTCTTGCTGGCTCTCTTTCAGAAGGTTCCCCTGTGGCCCTTTGAGGTCCAGGGCCTGCTCACAGTTTCCTCCCCAACTGGGAGTATGAGAAATATTTCCTAATAGTTCCTGTTCTATACTTCTGCTGTTTCAGAAATGCCCTGATGGAGTTTTGACACCTGATGCTCAAAGTCTGAAAAATGAATAGGAAAAAAAAAAAAAAAAAAGTCATCCATTTGTCAGGAAAGAGCATGAGAGAGCAATAAAAAATGATGAAAATGGGGCTGGTGAGATGGCTCAGTGTTCTAAAGCACCTACTTAGAACAAGCTTAGCAAAGCACAGGGACTGAGGTTCAATCCCCCAGCACCACATGCCTGCCAGCCCCGCCCCCTGATGGGCTGAGCTGGCCACACACACACACACACACACACACACATAAATTAAAAAAAAAAAATTTAAAAAAAAAATGATGAAAATGACTGTCTCTGAGGCAGACTAGATTGGCACTCTGCTTTTTACTTTGGGAAAGTTGTTAAAGGGCAGGATGTAGGGGCTGGGGAGATGGCTCAGTGGACTAAATGCTTCCCTGGCAAGCGCAAGGGCGTGAGTTCAATCCCCGGTTCCGCAAAAAAAAAAAAAAAAAGACCTGGATATAGCCCAGCTGCAGGGTACTTGCCTAGAGACCCTGGGTTCACCTGCAGGATAAGAGAGGAAGAGAGGAAGAGATCTACACATTTTAAAAAATCAGGCAACTCCTTTCAAAGATGTTATAGTTTAGACAGCAGTGAAATGTTTACCAAAATGACAATTTTATTCAGTCCATTCCTCTTTTTTTTTTGGTATTAGGAATCAAACACAACCTCACACTTGCCAGGTAGGTTCTGTGCCACTGAGCTATATTCCCAGCCCCTACCCAGTCAATTCTTAATTGATAGGTCAAAAGTGAAATATAAACTTTTTTTGGTGATATTGGCAATCAAATCTAGGCCTCAGCATTGAACTGCATACCAGCCTCCTCTTTTTGAGTTCTTTTCCTTTTTTTTTTTTTTTTGAGACACAGTCCACCGGTCCACTAACTTGCTAACTTGTGATCCTCCTGCCTTACCCTTTCAGGGTGCTGGGGTTATTGGCACGCACCATCACACCCAGCTGAAGTGTTAATTTCTTTTTCTTTCTTTTTCTAATGTAATTCTTTTTGTATTTACTACAGGGTCTCACTACACAGATAACACTCCTAGTGATCCTTCTGTTTTGAGCCTCCCAAGCACTGGGATTATAGGCCCGCACCACCACACCTGGTCTCAGTGGGGGTCTCAGTGCACCCTGGGGGTAGAGCCATCAAGGCACACCAGGGACTGAATCCCAGTTCCTGTGCCTGCCTAAGCAGTGAAATGTTAATTTCTATAACAAGGAGCACTTTGGAAAGCTGAGACGGGAGGATACCAAGTTTGTGCCCAGCTTGGCAATTTAGTAAGGCCCTACCCTCTGTTAGAAAAAAGGATTGGGATGTAGCTCAGTGTGAAAGCCCCGGATTCAAATCTCCAGGGTTGGGGGCCGGCCAAATAACTCAGCGGACTAAAGGGCCTGCAAGCAGGCTCAGGAGCCAGGGGTTTGATCCTGAGCCGGCCATGCCAGCCCCAAACTTGGTATCCTCCTGTCTCAGCTTTCCAAAGTGCTCCTTGTTATAGGAGACAACAATTGAGACTAGGCGTGGTGGCGCACACCTGTAATCCCAGCTTTTGGGAGGCTGTAAATAGGCAGATCACTATGAGTCCAGTCTAGTAGCGAGACCCTGAACACCCTGTAGACCCTTCCCCACAAAACAACAAAAAACAAATCTCCAGGGCTACATTCACAAAAAGAAGTCTGGAGAAAAGGCCAGCCAGATAGCTCAGCAGACGCAGAGACCGGGATTCAATCCCTGGCATGCAGGGCCTGCCCGCCCCTGGGGTGCACTGAGACAGCAATTGAAACTGAGCATGGTGGCATGCACCTGTAATCCCAGCACTTGGGAGGATGAAAACAGGAAGATCAGTATGAGTCTGATCTGTATAGTAAGACCCTGTAGACCCTCTACTAAATACAT